CGTTTAAAAGCGTTTTATATTTTCCGTGAGGCGGTGTTTGGCTGTAACTTCACTTCCGTCGCCAGCTTTAATTTTAATATTAATAATAATCTTAATAATATTTATAAAGTTTGTTATTATTAAAATCAACTCTTTTTTACTCGTGGTTTATTGGCTTTCAGATGAAATCCAGTGGCATTTAATCGCAAAGTTAAGAAACCTTTAAATATTCATACTGCGATAAAAATAATCGGTTGACATTGTGGGATATCTTTTCCCGTAAGCAATAACGACATCATGAGTAAGGTCATTACCCCAACGGTCAAATTTTCTTATTAAACGTCGAATGATTGACTCAAGTTTAGCGGAAAAAACTACCACTTATAAAAAAATTGTTTTATTCTCCATGCCAGTAGACAAATATGTACAATCTACATGGTACAGTTTAAGAACATCACTGTGCGATATTTTGCATAAGTCAGCGCGCTGTTCAGTCTACGACAGTTTTATTTGGTACGAGATATGTCGCACAAAAACAAGAGGGAAACCGTAATTTATGCCTAAACAGTTACGGTACTTGGTACACTGTTTTTCCTAGTACTATGGTCGATGTCTTCTTGTAATTGCCTATTAAAATTGTTCGACTCGTTTGGAGAGAAGTCATTGGGCTTTACGATCATAATAAAGTCATCAGTAGGTGAATAAAATAAAAGGAAAAGTTGTAGAAAATTACTTAATTTATATATGTATAACATAAGGTTTATTTCGCAACAAATCCAGTCATCGTTTTTAACAAATAACATAACAAATAGGATGGTTTAAGGGACCTATATTTTCCTACAAATTCGCTGCTACGACCAACTACTAGCAAAAAGTCATTTGTAACAGCTACTTAGTACTAACAGCGAATTTGTAGTGGAGTACGTGCCTTAAGTAACAACTAAGTCTAACCAATGAACGACGAAAAACTATTCGTGTTTTTTCCAGGATACTTTGGCAACGAAGCCAAGTTTCTTATCGGCCACATAGTCGACAATACGGATGGTCTTGTGATCGGGTTCCAAAAGACTGTATGATCCCTTTACTTTGTAACCGTCTCTGGTTTCGTGCTTGCTCTTGTAGTCCTTGTGCTTGTGGTCGGCTACATGGTAGTCGTAGTGGTATTCAGGGTGGGCCTGTAAGTTAAAAAAAACATTTAAGAAATCCCACCGACTGCGCCACACAGTTGTACCTTGATGTGGATGGCTTTCTCGTGGTGGATGTCCACTGGAGTTTGGAAGTGTGATCCAGTGAATCCAATGCTTTCATGGCCGTGTTCGCCCCCACCTAAAGCATTTTTAATTTTTCAGTGGACCCAAAAAGAAGGTGTTAATTACCGTAGTTAGAATTATTATTTAACTGGGTACATTGTAAGCATAATTTAATAATTTTACTAAGGAACTGTACGGTTACAGTCTGTTAAGTTTATTTATCGTTTTTTTTGCGAATTGAATGCACCTTATTTTAATAGTAAATAATTGATTCAGTGGCGGCTCGTGGGTGTATAGGAGGGTGAGGCTACATGAGCTCAATGTTGTCTAAATACGAACAAATTTCCACGTCATCCGGAAGGTATTATTCTGTGATAAAACAAAGAGAATATTAAAGCAATCTTAACCCAAATTGCGAACTCAGAAATTCGTTTTTTAAATCTTTAAAATATATGTATATCTGAAACTTAAAAATATATTTATATGGATGGATAAAAATATGCATATAAAACAAATAAAATATCAGAGCAATCGGAACACCCACCCCCTGAACTGCAAAAGTTCGTGAATATTGCTTACCCTGTCTCTTATTGATAAATATTGATGAAATTTTTGGCGTTGGACGACTGCCCAATATCTTTTTTCGGTTTCGTTTCCTCTTAAAAAAGGCGTTTCAATTATTGAGAGAATAATGTCATCAACAGGATTCATTTGCAACACAAACGGCCACCCACCACATCTTCACTCATGTGATATAAAACCACCACACAGGGGTCCTGAATGAGTCATATGTGACCTATAGGTCACATAAAAGGACGCCAAAAACTGAATGCGCTCTCTAGAGTTTAAAAACATGTTTTTCAAAATTGTAGGTTATTCTTTTTTTTTAATTTTGGAAGTTAATTCAAATACCAAATGTAATTTAGTGACTTAATTAAGATTTTTTTCGAATTTCTCTAAAACTGAGCCCCTCTAATTTTTGGAATAAATACAAGATAAACAACATGGCACATCCTAACTTCAAGGAGTCCTTAAAAAGAAGTTTTCATCAAAAAATGTTTAATCCTTTTTCTCATGTTGATAACATTATATACTTAGGTTATATTTCTTTAAAGAAAAATGATGCTCTAATGTTAAAAGTAACCTATGGCAGGTTATTTACAAAAAAACGTAACATACCCAGTTAAACATAAAAAATTCACGACTACGTCCATGGATTTCGTGGGCCAATAGTTTAGGCATAATTATGGGGGCAGATAATTAAGACCTTTATTTCCTTATTCAAAAATTTTTTCCAAAAGTCGTTTTAAAGATAATAGTAAAAACCTAAAATAACTTCAAAAAAGAAACAGCTACAATTTTAAAAAACATATTTTTAAACTTCACAGGTCAGTTTTTGGCGTCATTTTTATGTGAACTATGACTCGTTCAGGACCACTGTGACCAATTAGAGCCCCTTATGAGCCGCCACTGATATGATTATTTGAAATTAATTTTAATTCCATATAAAATATTATACTGAAGCGTTTAAATAAAATCATTAAGATAATATAATTATAAAAAATCGATAAGACTAATGGTATTTTTGATGTAATTTGTTTAAAAATAATTAATTTAAACCATTTTTTCATTTTGATATACCTTGGGCCGAAACAGCTACTACCAATACACAACAAAAAATCTGCAAGGAAAAAATTAAAATAATTAATCTTAAAATATATTTCATTGACTTACAATGATTCTGTTCATTTTGTCAACTAGCAGGCCTTCGATTAACTGACTAATTGTTTATATATGCACCCCGGTTTTATACTGATAATATTTTTGTGAAAGGGTTATTGGTAGAATAATTAACATATCCATATTGCACCTATTACTTACAATACAGACAATCGAAAATTCCAAAATTATTATATAATCAGGTGCTATACCTAAGCTTTAACAGCAAGGAGCAAATTATACAGCATGTCCGAAAAATATCACTTTTTTAATAATTCAATTATTGACGTCCTTGGGTGTTGTTTCTGCTCGTATAATACATTTTTATAAATTAATCGCCAACTTGATTTGGACGCCTTTTTGTCTCTTATACATTTTATTGGGCAAACCTGAATTTCCAGGCGCTAGTTATTAAAAAAAATGCAAAGAAACTTTGGACATTCAGGAGGCACCAAGTATCCTTGTATGTAGGGATATCTCTTTTATTTGAAGAGTTAATTGGTCGATTGAATTAAAGAAAATTTGCGTAATTACAAGTATATTAAAATAGCATTATTTTTTTTTTAAATCAGCGGTTTAATTTGAAAAAAACTGAAACCTGACAAAACCAAAAATCATTATAACTTTGTTATTCCTGGGAATTTTATAAAAAAAAGTAATTTTTACATGTAAAATTTATTCTGTCAAATTATCTATGAAAAAAACATTGAAATAAAATTAAACTAATAGTACTAATGGCACTATTTAAAGTTTAAATTTATTTTAATGTTTTTTCAACGATAACTTCCCAGAATAAATTTTTGTGGTTATTATTGTGCATTTTTTTTACTTAAAATTTTTCAATAAAATTTAGTAAAGGGTCGTTTTGAGGGGTGCCGTGCTTAGATTTTGTTTAAAAAATTCACTAATATGAATTTTTAAAAATTTACTCTTAAAAACTGACATAGTAGGCCTTGTATTTTGTACAAATATAACGTTTTAGGCTGCAAAAATACAGTTTATCAAGATCTACACTTTAAAACAAATCCGGTTAAAATCGCTGTATCTACAGCTTTTATACAATTTGCGATTTTTTTTCGCTTACTAGATTTTGAGTTACCACCACCATCATTTGTTTTTCCCATGACCGCCATATTAAAATTGTCTATAGATAGAAAAAAATCAATGAATACAACAATGTATCAAACCTACTACATAATTTATGGCGGCCATTAGAAAAACAAAAGACGGTGGAGATAACTCAAAATGTAATGGGAGAAAAAAATTACAAATTGGGTGAAAATGTAGGTATACAAACTTTTTTTAAATTTCCACGAAAAACAAAGTTATAACGATTTTCTGTTTTGACAGGTTTTAATTTTAGCCAAGGACTCTTTGGATTTACCTTGTACATCAAGAAGTCCCACTTTGGCATTTTAAGATTTTGTATCTGTCAGTTTAATGCCAAGTTCGTCTTATTTTCTAAAAATAATACGTGTTATAAATTAAGACCTTTATCCACAAAAAATACGAAAATAAGACGAAGTTAACGTTAAACTTACAGATACCTAACCTTAATTATTAATTGATTGTATTTTATATTTAAATGTGGTATAGTTGGGGTATAGCATAGGTATAGTGTAGTATAGTATAGGATAAAATATGTCAAAATATTCAGGGATATATAAGTACTACCCTACAACGCTAAAATGCAAAAGTACGCTAGTGTAAACAACATTTAAAAACCATTTTCAATCCTAAAGTTTATCTTTTCTATAATTTTTTTTATTATAATTATGTTAATATTTATGTATATATGTTTCTTTAGTTTGTAAGCATTTTTACATTTCTGTAAAAGTAATTTAACTTTTAAACTTTTTTAAAACTTGGTAGTGTATCTCAATAATGCAACTTTTTAATGTTTCTATGTACAATAAGGTTTATTTCGCAACAAATCAAGTCATCGTCTTTAACAAATAAAATAACAGAATAACATACAAATAACAACTAACAAAAAGGTACGTAAGATAGTTTAGTAACAACTAATAAGTCTAACAAATCAACGACGAAGAACTATTCGTGTTTTTTCCAGGATACTTTGGCAACGAAGCCAAGTTTCTTATCGGATACATAGTCGACAATACGGATGGTCTTGTGATCGGGTTCCAAAAGACTGTATGATCCCTTTACTTTGTAACCGTCTCTGGTTTCGTGCTTGCTCTTGTAGTCCTTATGCTTGTGGTCGGCTACGTGGTAGTCGTAGTGGTATTCAGGGTGGGCCTGCAAGTTAAAAAAAACATTTAAGAAATCCTACCGACTGCGCCACACAGTTGTACCTTGATGTGGATGGCTTTCTCGTGGTGGATGTCCACTGGAGTTTGGAAGTTTGATCCAGTGAATCCAATGCTTTCGTGGCCGTGGCCGTGTCCTTCGCCACCTCCGCCGCCGCCGCCGCCTCCGCCGCCACCACCACCACCTGAAAATATTTATTATTATAGTTTTTTCACTTGTTTTTTTGATATGCATAAAGTGGTTTTATAGTTGCACCAAGTAAATCGTAATTATGACAATTAAGCAATAGGTAAATATAGTGAAAGGTGAAATCATAAAATAAAAATAAAAACTGAAATATTGTCCAAAAAATGTTTACCTCCTCCATGATGTTCTTCATGGTGTTCTTCTTCTTGTCCACGGCTGAGTCCAATTACTTGGAATTTAAGGGGTTGTGTGTGACCTAAGAGACCACCTGCTGATCTACCCCCATATTGGGCCGAAACTGCCACCAACACACAGCAAAGAATCTGCAATAAAAAAATTATAGTTTTTAATTTATAATTAGGAAAATTGTATTTTATAACTAACAATTATTCTGTTCATGTTATCAACTTGTTTGTTGCTTTGGTCGTCGAATAACTGACGAATTGTGACTATCTGCACCCCGGTTTTATACTAATATGTTTTTGTGAAAGGGTTATTGGCAAAATATTGCTTAGAATATAGACAATTTCTTTCAATCTAAAATTCCTAAATTATGATATAATCAGGTGCTAAAGCCAGCTGGTTTGATCTATTTGCATATTAAATATTTCGCTTTTTGAATGTTTACGTGAATTATGGCAATTGCGTAGAATAATTGGTCTACTTAATAATTTTACTTTTAGTTTTCGATAATTAAGTTGACAGTGCATTGCAAAATACTCGTTATGTTAATTGTGAATGTGATTAATTGTCTTAAGACAAATACAAGTTTTAAACATTAGGTTTTTTATATGCGCCTTTTAAAGTTTTAAGAAGGTATGTCCATTTAAAACACATTTTTTTTTTAAATATTTTTAAAAAAATGCCACCGAAAGTGACATCAACTTTGTTACTTCAAATAGAACACCCCATATATTTTTACATTTTAAAATTTTTCATAAAATTCTGAGTAAAATTACTATACTATGTCCTATAGCTAAAGTGAATAGTTTTCGAGTTATTAATTTTTTTTCGTTAAAATTTGACAAATGCGCGTAAATCATAACTTTTTTGTTATTAGGTTTGCAGATATAAGGTAAAACATTGTTTAAAAGATTCCATGTTAATTCTTTAACTTTTTTCAAAAATTACCCAAGAAAACCCAAGGCAAATTGGTTAATAACTTTTTTATTTTAAATGTAACACTCGATATGTTTTACATAATTAAATAGTAAACTAAAAAATCTTTAGACTCCTGTTACTATTTCTTATACCTTAAGTTAATAATTTTAGAGATAATTAACAACGAGTACTTAAAATATTTACTTGTAAGTACATTTGTAAAGAGAGGTTACGGTTACGAGTAGTAATCGTGAAAACACGAGTAAAGAGTACGAGTACTTTTGAAAAAAAATGTTGGTTAATATAATTGATTATTCTTTATACATTATACATACTTTGGTCCTGAGCTATAAAAATACAAATGCAAATTTATAAAATTATTTATTTTAAACATTAGGTACATAAAATAATAAATAAAAATAACAATTCTTAAATAGTTTATAATTTAACCTTTATACTTGTTATAAAACCTATAGGCTATAATATATTATATTATACTAAAAAAATGTTTTGATGCTTACGATATTTTGGCAAAAAGTCATTGATATAATAAACGGTATATTACTCGTGAATTCCACCAGTATCTTTTACGAGTACATTGAATTTGGTTTGTAAGTACGAGTAATGAAGTATTTCAAATGAAAAATACTTATGAGTAAAAAAGTACTCGTACTTTGTTACTCGTAATTGAAATACGAGTAAAAGTACTCAGTACTTGGCCAGCTCTGGTATTAAGACACCTGTGACCCACGAAATCTGTCATTGTTCAAAATTTAATGTCGTCAATTTTTTAGGTTGTTATAAACAATTTGTTGACTAATTAAGTGTTTCATAAACAATATTACTGATAAAAAATAGCAGTCAGTGACTTATAAAAAACATTGACAAGCCAAAGATTAAAGTTATACAAACAGTAATTGCTAATTTTGAAAAAAACTTAACAAAGCTGAAGGATGTCAACTAGATAAAGCGCTAGCTCATTGAAGACAATTAAATATAACATTTATTTTATGAAATATTTTCATAACAAACAAAAACGTAACTAACAATTTAATAAACCAACAATTTATAACTAAATGTTTAAAGTCTCCTCCATTTACATTCAATCATTTCTTGATTCTTATTTTTACATTAGTCGTTGCTCTTCTTAGCTCTTGGTTTATTAAATTGTTTTTATTATTGTTATCTTTTGAACGAAAAAGGGTATCAACATTGGACAAAAACCATTGTCAATTGTCAATTAAGACGTCAAAATGTGCTTTTTTAAGGAATGCCAATAGGACAGTATTAACATAAAAATTTCAAATGGAAAGAGGGGCTTGTGATACCTTATTTCGATTTTTTTTTCAACGCCTATCTAAAATTTAAAATCTGTTCAATGGTAATATCGAATTTTTGTTCTTATTTATTTGTTGTTCTTATTTATTTAATTTAATCAAATTAGATGTTCAAAATGCTCCACTTGAACATTTTGACACAAAAATAGTCTAATATATAACTATATATATATCCTAACATGTTTTACAGGTATACCTTGTATAAAAAAAATTAAATTGTTTATTAACGAGATACACCCTAATATTAAATTCACTATTGAAGGAGAACACGATGATCAAATTAACTTTTTAGATCTTAACATCCAAAAAAAGAATAGCACTCACACATTTAAAATTAACCATAAACCTAGTTACACAGACATAACAATACATAATAGTTCCTCACATCCTTTTTCTCAAAAAACAGCAGCATTTAATCCCATGAGACACATACTTTTAAACGTACTTATGACAGAATTATAATTATAATAAAATCTATAGATTTTCTTGATAAATTAAATTTAATAAGACAAATTGCTGTTAATAATGGTTATAGCGCATAATTAATTAATAATATACTAAGTAACAAAAAACTAAAAATGGCTATAAATCAAGTCTTTCCAATACAAAAGAACCCCACATTTACATACAACATTGTCACATACTTAGGCACTAAGACTACACATGTGTCGAATTTCTTTAAAAAACATAATATTTCTATTGCATAATGCAGTTGGTTTTAAATGCAATTTGCATTTAAAACCAACTACAATTTGAGTATACATTTATAAAAAACAACAAAGATAAAACTAAGAAAGATACGAAATCCGGAGTCTACCAACTACAATGTGCAGACTGTCCAAAAGCTTACATAGGCCAAACTGGCCGGAATTTTAAAACCAGAATTAATGAACATATAAAATCTTTTATAAATCAAAAAACAGATTCAGCTTATGCCAATCATTTAATTCAAGAAAACCATTCATTTAACAATAAATTTAAAATTTTACATGTTGCAGATAAAGATACGAAGTTAAATTTACTTGAATCATTAGAAATTAATTAATCTGATAGTATCCTCAATGATCAAATAGAAACAAATAATTCCCCTCTGTTAAATTTATTCTAATATTATATAAAATTACCAAAATTATTTTATTAAAACTGTAGTTAAATTATAATTCGACAGGTAAAATTGTCTTACTGTACCAAAATTTGTTAAAAAACACATTACCTGCAACAACTGGGTTATAAAAGTTTGAAATCATTTCTGAAGAAGCTACTGTGTTAATGAAACAATTGTCAAAATAAAGTTGAAATAAATTCGTGAAACTCAAAAAACAGTGTTTGTTTTTATCTAGTTATACATTAGTGACATGGAGTTATCAACTAAAGGTCGAAACAATAAAATATAAAAAATAGCCTGTTTCTAATTTCAGTTATCACATTTGCAAACGTTCGAATATTCGCATATTCATGTCTAATCCGTTGTTTAAGATTATCAATTGATTTCGTTTCGGTGATGTAAACTTTCGATTTGAAATAGCCCCAAAAAAACATCGTTATTTATAAAACCAACTCACCTTACCCCGTACTGCCGTACTGTATTGAATTTTGTAAGTGTCAAAAAATACAGGTCACCATATCGTTGACTTTCTGCCAAAATATTGTAAGCAACATAACTCAAATTTCGAGCATTTTTAAATTTTTTTGTTTTGTTTTAAACTATTTATCGCCTTTAGGTTTTATAACAAGTAAATACCTATAATTATAATCTGGGCAGAAAGTAATTGATATTTTACCTATCATATTTTAACTTAAAGTCGCTGTAGATGCGTTAATTCAACGCCGTTGAAAATTTTTTCTCTATAACAACCGTTTATGATATTTATTTAATCGGCTTGGAAAATACACAGTGTTGCCGAGTTTTTTAAACTTAAGAAGAACTTGTATATTTTTATACTTAAAATAATCCCCTACAACGTGGTCTGCCGTTTTCTGGACATGTGTACAAAGCATCATTTATTAATCATACATTATAAGCTTTATATCTTAGATTGAATAAATATTATTAAGTTGTAAAACACTTTTATTGATAAAAAGATTTAATTTTAGCGAATTAATGAGCTTTGGTTTAATGGAAATCTTATCTTTAATTACATTTTATATTTTAATAGTCTGTATAATTGGTAAATTCTCATATAACTTGTTTCGATGCTGTATCCACTTATTTTTGTGAGAACTAATTCTCGCTCAAGGTTTTTTTTAGTGTAATGAGCATGTATACATGCTATAGCATTTTAAGGTAATGGGAACTTAAATTATGACAACCCTAATCTATTAATTTTTTCCTAAAATGCAGGCTTTATGTTATCCGAAATCGGCAGTAAAGTAGAACTTTACTGCCGATTTATTTTAATTTACGATTGTTGACTACTTTACTGCCGATTTCGGATAAAATAATTTTTTGTCAATCTTAAGTCTATTTTTAGTTAATCAAGCACTAACATTAGTTGTTTGAACGACCATTTTGTTGAAATATTCATCGATGTTAGGATATTGCAGTTGGTGACCGGTAACTTACGTGACATTTGCAACATAAAGCCTGCATTTTAGGAAAAAATTAATAGATTATAGGGTTGTCATAATTTAAGTTCCCATTACCTCGAAATGCTACATGCTTATTACACTAAAAAAAACCTTGAGCGAGAATTAGTTTTCACAAAAATAAGTGGATACAGCATCGGAACAAGTTATATGAGAATTAACCAATTATCAAAACCATAATTTAAACATTCTTTTAAAATTTAGCATTATAATAATAATAATAATAATAATAATAATATTAATATTTATATTTATATTAATATTAATATTAATAATAATAGTAATAAAAATAATAATAATAATAATAACATAGTGCAACAGCAAAAAAATGATGGGGTTCTGAAAGTGGTTTTCGTTTCTCCTATTCAAAGAATGCCTTTTTGCGTTTACAGAATGTTCAGATTGATTCAGGTTTTTTTTAATATCGATTTTAAGTTTTATTAATTTTGGAACCCGAAAAACCGTTATTTATTAATTTAAACCAATTAACTGGTAGGAAATTGTTGTCATAAAAATAAATTTAAAAAAATAATAAAAAATAAAACACAAATTAAAAATGGGTGTAAACATGTCACTAAAAGTACATTTGCTCCATGCACATCTTGCCATGTTCGAAAATTAGCTGTCCACCTAATCAGAAGAGCATCAAACAATAATGGAAATCGAAAATCATTATAGAGGAAAGAGGTTTGATTCGATGTTGGCAGATTTTTGCTATATCTTTTATGTTGATTCATTCTATTTGTTAAAAAGAATATGTTTTAATAATTAATATAATAATAATAATAATAATAATTACCATAATTATTAATATGGTAGAAGCGAAAGAACTAAGAAATTGCACTACAATATATTAAATCCAGAGAAAGGTTCAATTTTTTAAAAAATATATTTTTTTCTTTATTTGATTGTTTATAAAACAATATACAAAACCACTTATAATCTTTTATGTACTAATTATTTAATATTTTACGATATTTCGGGATCCAGAATTACTAAAACTATAAATTGATATTATAAAAAAACAGAATCAATCTAAACATTCTGTAAACGCTATAATTCATGATTTTGATTGTAGAAACCAAAAATACTTTGAGAACCCCATCATCTTAATTTTTTTCCGAAAATGTTGCACAGTGTAATATTTATTTATGTTAACATGTACAGATACATTTGCACAGGTCAGAAAAAAATTACAAACTAAAAAAATTAAACATTTAAAGAATGAAAATATAACAAAAAATTTAGAAATAAAGAATAAGGTAGGTAGATAAAATATATACTTAACATTTTTGATAAAAACTAGACTTAAAAATAAAACTTTATACGAGCCCTAACCACATAATGTTCGGACACTTCATAATTTATACAGAAATTTTTTTCGTGAATACTATCTCAAAATTATTAGAAGTTATGAAAAATTCAGCTTATTTTGGCATATACCCCTCGAAGCGATTTTTATTTTTAAAAAGTTTACCTTTTATTTTTAGCTTTTAAAAAAAGGCTAACTTTTTAACTTTTTTTTGTATGAGTAAAAAAAGTTTTAAATGGGCCCATTAAAAAGAACATAAAATATTATACAAACCCTGAAAATTTGGTAAAAAATAAATAAGTTATAAAAAAGTATAAGTAATTTAAAAATGCTATTTTTAAAGAGTTTTTGCAATTTTCTTAGGAAACGGGAGATTTTGCAGATATATATATCGCTATAACTTTCTTATTATTTATACAATTTTTACCAAATTTTCAGGGTTTGTATAATATTTTATGTTCTTTTTAATGGGCCCATTTATAACTTTTTTTACTCATGCAAAAAAAAGTTAAAAAGTTAGCCTTTTTTTAAAAGCTAAAAATAAAAGGTAAACTTTTTAAAAATAAAAATCGCTTCGAGGGGTATATGCCAAAATAAGCTGAATTTTTCATAACTTCTAATAATTTTGAGATAGTATTCACGAAAAAAATTTCTGTATAAATTATGAAGTGTCCGAACATTATGTGGTTAGGGCTCGTAGAAAGAATATTTATAATAAAACAAATCGCATGTTAATTTGTTTATGTCATAAAACGTTTTTATTATTAAAAATTTCTTTAGACGTATCCTCAAGTGTTTCAAAGTTAACTGACACAACTATTTATATTATAATAAATTATAATTTTATTATTCTGAACCCAAAAAATATAAAAATATACATAGTCATGTCAACTATAATAATATACTCCCAAAAATATAAAAACTTTAACAAACAATTGTTTATTTTTCTAATTTTAGTTATTTTTACCGAGCAATATATTTTCACTTTTACGGTTTTAAATTATTAAGAGGCTTAACGTATTAATTAAACAATATTTTCTTTATTTCAGAGCGCTCTGGATAACTACACGTTCCTGCCATTTAGCGTGTTCCTAGCCATCTTCTGGATATTCACCTACAAGAAGGTTCCCGAAACGAAAAACAAAACCTTCGAAGAAATTTCTGCCTTATTTAGACCAGAAAATGGAAGGTAAGCCCAAACAAACATCTCCTATTACATTTATTTTTATATAGGTGAACATTGTACACGGGTACTTTAGATACATCTCACTAGTATTGCAGTAGTCCGGAAGTTATATAATAAATTAATAAATCAGTGGTGTTTTAACATTTTTTTTCAAAATTCAAAAAGAGCTATGTTTAGGGCTAGCTTCCGGGAAAGTCGACTGTACGGGTAAGTTTAGGAATGTTGGCCATAATTTTTTAATAAGTTGTTTGGCACGGCTTCAGCATGTATCTTTATCTGACCTCTATACACAACGTAGAGTCAGATTGCGAATATCTATCCAAAACGTTCCCCCTACAAATCTCCCGATTCATTGTACACACAAAAACACTTATTATAAATTTATACATTCAACTAATTTCAAAGTATTTGGAAATATTAAGCCAATTATGTACACAATAATTGTTTATTCATAAAACATATATTTACATTTGTTAGTTATCTCTGTTTGGACACGCTTTTATACAGATATAATTATAATTAACGTTTGGTTTATTTAATTCGGCTAATTGTTTTTTTTTTTCGGCTTATCTACATACACATATGTGTGTACGTTCACAATTATGTAATTTGGCTTTACTTACTTTCAATTTATCGCGGAAATATCCAACGCGAATATCAGTTAAGACAATATTATATATAGTGACAATATGAGTTCATATTGTGGCTTCTCATGTTTAAGTTACATTTGTAGTGTCATAATTATAATTATTATTTTTTTAATACACTAATTAACATTTTAATTAACAGGGTAGCAGCAGCTTATATAAGGTGGCCTAACAAAACAGTTTTCAGGTAGTATTTATTTTCAAGATATTTAAAATTTAAGTTGCAACAGCAAAGTTCTTTACTTATTTAGTTCAAAAGTACAGATAAGGAAGTTGAGAAAAAATCGTTTAGGAAATATGTCGAATCACAAAAAGGGCTCATTAGTCTCCTAAGTACCTACACAAAATTTGTTCAGTTTTATTCAACATTAATGTATTCACAAAGTTTAAATCAGGGGGATATAGGGGAGGTTTAATCATTTAATTGTTAAACATATACAGGGTGTTTTACATTCGAGGTCCATTAGAAGTTTCTGGGGAACGGAAAAAGATATCGATTTGAAATTTTAAAAGCGTTTATAATCCATTTAAGTCTATTTTTATAAAATATTTTAAACAAAATGCTACTTTTGGTTTAACCGGAAAAGACATCAACTTTGTTATTTCGTAAGTAATATCATAAGGGCATTTAATTTTTCCGAAAAGAATCGAAAAAACACGTTGCTAAGTGATATTTTAACAAAAAGCATGAGTGCTGGTGGCAACAAAAATCCGAGTCGAAGAGGAGGATTTTTGCACCTGCACGAATGCTTTTTATTAAAAAATATTACTTAGCATTGTGTTTTTTCGATTTTTTTCACAGGAAAAATTAGATGCCCGAATGGTATTTGACAAGACTATTTCATGAGTAACAGTTAACAATTAAAATATAAATTGCAATTTTTGGTGACAACAGCTGTCAAGTTTTGCCGCTGGTAAACTCGAAAAAACTGCTGACAGGTGCTGTCACACAGTTTTTCCACCTAGAAACCATTTGTAATTCAAAATTGCGCGTTTGTGATTGGTGGAAATTAAGACGAGGGAAATAGTCAAATAAAACACCCCATATATTTTTACATTTTTAAATGTAATTTTAAAATTCTTGGTTAAAATACAAAACCATATTCTATACACAAAGTAAATACACTACAAGTAAAAAAATTCTAACTCTAAAACGCCTTTACCAATCTTTATAAAATTTTGTAAAATAATACTTTAACTTATATCTCAGTTTACTTGTTCAAGGTTTTTTCGAAAAAATATCCTTAAAGCTCTTTTGTTTAATAATAAAAAAACGCTCGAAAAAAACCTTTATAGGGAATTTTTTTAAGTATATTAAAAATATGCTGTAAAATACTGTATTTTTGTAAGTTTACCCTGAAAATGTTGTACAAATCAAACGAACAGTAAGGAAAATACAGCGCTTCAAAGTCGTCAAAAATGACCACTTTTCAGCAAAATAATCAAAAAGGGGTCATTTTTACCGACTTTGAAGCGATGTATCTTCGTTACTGATTTGTACAAAATTTTCAGGGTATACTAACAAAAATACGGTCTTTAACAGCATATTTTTTATTTACTTAAAAAAGTTATTTTTTGAACGTTTTTTATTATTAAATAAAAGGGCTTTAAAAATATTTTCTTGAAAAACCCTTGAACACTTAAACTGAGATATAAGTTGAAGTGTTTTTATAAAAAATTTCATAAAGATTGGTAAAGGGGTTTTACAGTTAGAATTTTTTTACTTATTATGCGTTAATTTTGACGCGCAGTGTATAACTTCCGGTTTAACCGGAAGTTGCATTTTGTTCAAAATATACTGGGTGACTCAGAGTAAATTTCCTTTTTTAACATGCTATAAAAACAGAATAAAAAGTGTTGGGATAATTTTATTACAGAAATGCGGATTTTATTTTTTAAACACAATGTTGTTCAAATGTCCACCATCCCTCGCATAGCAGCAATATCAATGGATACTGTACGTAGAGATGCGACTTGAAAAAAAACGGTCCGTTTTTTTTGTTTTTTTTCAGGTTTTTTTTCATTGTTTTTTTTCAAATGGTTTTTTTTCACATTTTAGGTTTTTTTTCAAGATTAGTCCCATTTGACTAATTTTTTAGGTTTTATGGACTAAAATTAGCCACTTTATGACAATTAGTAAATGTAAATACAGTCTCGCGCTATGCACGCGCCACCACCACCGAATTGACCAATAAGGGCCGCGCTTGTTTTGATTTGGTCCTAAAAAAAGTAACTAGATATAATATTTTTGATTCAGCGCTTTTTTCATGATTTTTCAAATTCATGTAGAGTATGAAATTTTTTTTTCCAAAAAACAATAGCAAATTCTTGTAGAACATTTATTCATTGGTGGTAAAGTCAGAACATTCCGTGGACCAGAAAGCCAAAATTTTTTTTTTTATTACGGTATTTGTTAGGATTAAGCGTTGCACATTTTTCATCTAAAAATCTCAAAACTAGAAACTTCAAGCTTCAAATTGCTTTTTTTATGGCTCCAATACTACCATTTTTAACAAAGACAGCTAACGAAGAATCGCAAAACAATTTTTTATCATTTAATTTTTTGTATTGGTGTAGAAGTTTTACATTGCTACTGGTTTCTATAATGTGGAAACTACCAAATAATAAGAAATCAGATTTTTTAGTCTCGGTCAAAATTTTCAATAATGAAAAATTTAATATATTCTACATTTCACTTTATTATTAATTAATTAATATATATTTTACTCAAAATTTCATTTTGAAAAAAAACAAAAAAAACCGTTTTTTTTCTAGGTTTTTTTTCATGTTTTTTTTCACATCTGAAAAAAAACCGTTTTTTTTACATCTCTAACTGTACGTGAATTGTTTCCAGGAACTGTTATTTCGAAATTTGGGGACATGTCTTTTCCGCCAAGATCACCAGATCTTACGCCCCTAGACTTTTTTTGTGGGGATATTTAAAGAGTATCGTCTACATCGATCCTCCAGCCACTACGGAACAGTTATTTCGAAATTTGGGGACATCTCTTTTCCGCCAAGATCACCAGATCTTACGCCTCTAGACTTTTTTTTGTGGGGATATTTAAAGTATCGTCTACATCGATACGAAATTTACTCTGAGTCACCCAGTATTAGAAAAATAGACTTAAAATAATTATGAACGCTTTTGGACCAACTGTTTCCTGGACAATGAATTGGACAAAGAAGAGCTTTGGTCCAAAGCCTTTGGATTGGCCGGCCAAATCTCCAGATTTGACCTCCTAGACTTTTTTATATGGGGTCTTTAGAAAGTCAAATTTATGCAACAGAGCCGAGGTTCTACAAGAGTTGCGGTAACGTATCGTGGATGAATGGCGTCAAATAACTTTCCAAATACTTCTTATTGTTTTTCTGCCGAAAACTTCTTTTTGTACTTTTTTATTTTAAAAAAATCACCACTTACTACCCGAAAACTGTTGCGTTTTCGTTAGGCCACCGTGTATTAATAGAAAGTTTTTTTAACTACAGAAAATAAATCTTAAAAATATTAAATACCTCATAAAGGAGCCATATTTAGAATTAGAAAACCCGGGACTTTGTTTACATGTTTAAAAACCTTTAATTAATGTTTTTTTATATCTGTCCGAGTATTGCGCGTATTTTCAGTGGAAGTGCAAAACAAGGAATAAATAATTAAATAAATACTTAAAACACACATATCTTCACGCCATTTTCACATAAAAACAAACACACATATCCTTTTATGCATGTATTTCATCACATCCGTCTTCTCCATTTCTATTTCAATGTTCTATTATAAAACCAGTAACGGTGACGATCTCAGCATTCAAACAATTTAGAATTACACAGTCCAGTCAAACCGTTTCGGCTGAAAAATAAAAACAATTTCACCCTTGACTTGTCCATATTTAGAAGTTTATAACTTTTTAATGATCATCAAAACGAAAAAATGTTTTAAACAAAAGATGTTGGCAATTAGTTCCTCAACAATTTCGGTAATGGCCATTTTTGTCGGTGCTCGCCTACTTACAGAGTAAGGTGGTTCTTATTTGACCGATGTCAAAATTTTAATCGTGCCGCACCATCACTTGTTTTTAAAAAAAATATAAAAAAAATGTATGCCAAATTTGAATGTCCTAACTTCCTTCTATTGCCTGTAACAACGAGAAGTTTTCCAGATAGAGGATTTTTGCCTTTGATTTATTAATTTTTTTTAATTACTATTAATCTATGAAAAAGTATAATTTTTTGAGAAAATGTAGAGGATATAAGTTACTTTAAAACAAACAAAAAAGAAATCATGTGTTTCTATCCTAAGGTCATTTTTACTTCGCTCGATTATTACTTACAGTTTTTCATATAGGGGATTTTTGC